CGGAAAACGAGAAAGGACGGACGATGCTGCTGCTGCTGCTGTCAGCGACGTACGAGTGGGGATTGAGGCGACGCAAATCAGGTAGTGTAGTGGTATTCATAATAAAGTGACGACGTACTTACGAAACGACGTGAAAGGGAGAGACGTAACTCGGGGTCTGACTGTATCAATAATAAATGACAGCACTGTGTAATAGCGTGCTTGCAATGGGGATCACAACATGCGCTGAAACAGAACCGCCATGCAGTACATCAGAGTACTTGTACATACAGCCCAATAAACATGCAATGCTGGGGGGCAACGTTCATTGACGTCGGCGTAACGTTGGCCCATCAACCAATGTCCCAACGTTGCATGTTTACTGGGAGTCCAAGGGCTGTGGGACAAAACATTTTTATCAAATATTTTGGAGTTCAAAATACCTATTGATTGTAGGTGTGAAGATGTAAATTTTGATTTAAAGCCTTCGTGACTGCAGGGATTCATATTCTTGGTTCTTTCTACGTGACTTTACTGTGTGAAGATGTGTTTGAAGGAGCGGATTTCCAACACAGTTGGATAAAACATTTTAATTCCTCCATGAACATAGGTATATCATGGAATACATGTTTTGCCAGTATCAAAATATGAAAAATAAGAATAGGGTTTACCCTTTCTGGCAAAAAAATAGGTGTTGTTAAGATGTTAAAACACCAAATAGATTAGTTTTGCAAGGAATCGAGTCTGCATTAACCACACACGTACTGTGGTGAACATACAAACAAACACGCTCTGATAATATCTTCATTGTCTTTGATACTGATTGGCCTACATCAGATTGGCCTACATCAGTTTCAAAGAAATGCTTATATTATCAGAGTGTGTTTGTTTGCATGTTCACCACAAGTACGCGTGGCTAACGCAGAGTCGATTCCTTGCAAAAGGTTTAAATTTGGTGCTTTAACATTGTGACAACACCTGTTTTTTACATGATGAGACCTCCTGTGCCAGTAACAAGATATAGTAATAGGTTTTACCCTTTTAACTGGCACAAAAACTGGCACCTTTATTCAAGGCATCATGTTTGCAATAACCACAACACAAGCAGTCAAAATGCAAACAAAAGAGACAACTCTGATGATAATATGCACTGTCCTTGAATTTGATTGGTCCACACCCGAGACGGCTTTTCTTAGAGCCGAGTCTCCACTGGTGTTGGACCAGAAGACGTCTTGAATAAAGTTGTCAGTTTTTGTGCCAGTTAAAAGGGTAAAACCTATTACTATACAACACCTGTTTTATTGCCAGAAAGGGTAAAACCTATTCTTATTTTTTATAAACATCGTTTTTTTGGATTTTTTAAAACATATATATATTTTTTTAAAACTACTGTGCATAGATTGGGATCGTATCCCAGAGCAGTATGACAATCATTGATCAGATTTAATAATTTAACATTTTTTTTAATTCTTATAGATTGTATATTTGTTGTTTCATGTGTGGGTTCTTAAATACATGTATTTGCTCGTTGTTGTTGTTTGAGCTACGGGTTTAGAAACATTTAAAATCTGTGTTCTCTGGTTGCCAGGGTGACAAGTGGTGGGGCTGTTTCCTTGCCCAATTCTGGCCCAGCCTGGCTCAGAAACTCAATAAACAATGAGATAGTGAATGATTAAAACGCCTTTCCCCTTTCTGCCATAAATCCAGGTGTTAAGATGTTCCAAGCACCAAATAGACACCTCATTACAAGACAATATCTGCATGAACCACACATACTGGTGAGAAACAATACAACATGTACGCGATATACTTGAAACTGCAAGAGAGACAGCCTATTTGTATGCCTGTCTCAGCAGTTCTGGGACCCAAGGCCGCCAAAAGCCGAACAGTACAAGTATAATGCAAACAACAAAGCATTAATAAGCTGCTGTGGTTAAGCAGTTACATCTTTGGGACCCTTTTGCGAGTGTCCAGATATTCAATAATGACAAAGGCTTTAACAGGTGTATTTATATTTCGATTTAAAGCTTTCGTGACTGCAGGGATTCATATTCTTGGTTCTTTCGGTAAAGTCACGTAGAAGGAAAATAATAAAATAAAATAAAAATTTGCTGCCGTTTTTATACCTGATGACGATTGCTTGTGTTGCAATCGAAACGTCGTGAGAATTTGATTGTTGAAGTTTTTATTATTATTTTATTATTTCCCTTCTACTTGCCTTTACCGAAAGAACCAAGAATATAGATGTATTTATGTCAGTAGGGGTAATGCCTTTAAAAAAATACATCATTCAATATCTTGATTTGAAGCTTTCGTGACTGCAGGAATCCATACTCTTTGGTTTTAATATTTTATACCTACGTGACTTTACCGAAAGAACCAAAGAGTATCATTCAATTTCCTTGATACTGGCTAAATGGGTCCCATATATACACAATAAAATGTCCAAATATATCTCGGAAATTGATTTAAAAAAAAAAAACGCATCCTAAAGAGCACTGACGACAGCTGCGTTTCCACAGGCGGCCGGCAACATTACCTGGTATCACTCTGGGGCATTCCTAGAAGGAGGTTTGCCCTAGACTCCACCTGGAGCCTGAGTCATCATCGCCACGCCTCCTTCCCGAAGGAAGCAATCATAATAAATAACCGTTCGTTAATCTTAGAAGAAATAAAGTGTTTAACAAGATTTAACAAAGGCTTGGATTCGCTTAAACTAACCTATGCGATAATTTTTTTTTTAATCGGTTTGCCTTTGTATTTTTTTTAGACCGAGACTACGTTGTACTGACGTTGGCCCAACCAGATATCTACTTAGGGCTGAGTAAACCTAGGAGTCGTGCAGGACAGGTCTGGATATCACTCGCCACCGATGTGTATCATCGCCAAAACGTGGAGCCCTTGCCTCCTGCCTATGTGCATACTGAGCAGTGGTGCCTTACTGGTGCCAGGCTAGGTGAATGTTAAGCCCCCCCCCCCGCCCCCCATCAAAGGCAACAGAACATTCAAACCCCAGCCCTATGCAGTGTACATTCGCGGACGGCATCCTGCCCACGAAGTTGTTGTGACATCGCCACGCGATGCTTGTGCCATCCCGAGGGCGCTGTGGGGTTCTTCCTCAATCGAAGCCCTCCCGCCCTCCCCGTTTGCCATGCACGGGCCACCGAACAGGCAACCGCCCAATTCACCACCACGAAGTGGCGGTTGACGTCACCACAGCGCTCGTGCCAGGCTGGGTGCACGTTGAGGCCACGACGAGTGTCAATGGCTTGCTGGCAGGTGTTCATGACACACCTGGACAGACCCCCCCCCCCCCCCCCAGGGGTGTTTTGTGTTGATTGACTGAAACGCTGGACAAACAAAGACAAAGACCTCCCGTATAGCCTTAACATACTTTTTGGGGCAAGTGCTGATAGTGAGTAGCGCGTAGGAAGGCCGGCACGGCACACGAGAGGGTGGGTGGTCAGCACCACGTCCGGCCGCCTTTGTCTCCATAGCGGTGGCAATGTTTACACACCGTACCATGTGTGGATCTACAGGAGGCCCAGGACCGGTTCAAGCATTCGTCACTGTTGTTGGCCGTGAGAGGGAATAATCGACACCCATACAATAGGCTGCCTATTTGTGTGTGTGTGAAACATGCTATGTAACACACCACCACAACAACAACCACAACGGTCGTCTGTGTTACTGGTCCTGCACGTGATAATTGAGGGGCTGTTGCAGATAAAACTGCGTGGAATTATCTTCTAAAAATATACATTACAGCCAAGAGTGCACTTTAATTGCGAATATATTTGAAATATATTTTGCTCACGTTTACTTTAAAAGACATGTACTGTACATTAAATATTCTACACACTGTTTGTGAATACGTAATCTAAATAGCAGTGATATTAACTGAACACATGTAACACGCATGTGCAACTTTACTGCAATATAACAATATCTGTATATGCAACAAGAATGATGTCTCTTATTTACGAAGGGAGGTGAGACGTACCCACACTTTACCCCACCACACAAAATAAATCTGCCGAACTATGGTGTACACATTCCTAGTGCTGGAAGTGGACGATGCTGGAGGGATATTTGACCAGTCGGTTAAAACTCTGCACAGATAGATTCACTAATCCTTGGCTTTACTGCCATCTCCCCCAATCAAATCTCAGTACACCATGGCTGTAATATTGACTACAGTTCAAACACCCATGCTTATGATATCTTGTTATAATCACTCCACAAGATATGCGAGCCAACACACGCCTATTTGATGTAAACCCACTAACTAAATCCACGACCTATAATTAATACATTGTAAACTGAGTTTAAAATATCTGATACTGTACACACAATGACATATTAATCGTGACATAGACCTATCTACATTAAGCCGGCACTCGCTAAAGTAACGCAATTGAGATAAATTACACAACAGCAGAGCATACACAAAATGTGTATATTTCAGTACAGGTAGTGGCACAATATAAAAATAAAAATGCTTATATAAAGTAGGACTGTATAGTGCCCAACTATTTAGTGAGAAACCATAATCTGGAATACGTGTTTATCGGAAGGAACAAATACAGTTTATTGCAATTATAGAGTAGTTGCCAAAATGTTAACAATTAAATATACATGAAGTGTCATAGTTCGCATGACATCATCGGAGATGTTAATGGAAAATAACAAAATACCCTGGTAACGACACCCAAACAGCACCGACACTATGCAAATGACTCGCTGTAGTCACGTTAATGCAATGAACATGACATCGTGATCACAAATATATAAACTTCACAATAGACAAAACAAATGTACGAGGCACAATTATAATTAGCTTCACCACCAGCAGTATAGCTGTAATAATACTACTACTACATACTAATGATCTGTGACGAATAACCAGCAAAAATTCACGCGACAATGGAGCTGTAATAACAGATGTAATGATGCAATAATCACTGGAATCGAGTGGTTAGGGTGATGTCTCGAAACCGGCAATGCTCATCTCATCTTACCCACTATGCAGCCCTCCAGCTCATGATGAAGATGACGATGATGAACAGAACGTGGAGGGTGAGAGTGGCTCCTGTTTGTTCCTTTTTTTGAGACGAAACCTCATCTCAGCCCTCCTCCTCAGCTTCTATGGCAGCATTGTCTCGGCTCTGCACCTTTGGTCACCCTCCCTTCCCACTACCTCCTCCTATTCCTCCGCTTGCCGTCCCCTCCTCCTAACGCTTCCACCTCGTTGAAGTCCCTCCCGTCTGGGCGAGCGCTTCCTCCGCTTTCTGCTTCTCGTTCCTCTTCTCTTCCTCCTGCCTATCCCCTTCACCTCCTCCCCTTCTTTACGCTCCTCTCGCACCTCGACCTTCTCTTCCGTCTTGCCTTCCTCCACCTTCACCTCTTCCTATATTATTTTGCCCCCTCCTCCTTCAACCTCTAGTTTCGTATCTCGCTCCCCATTCATTCACCGCCTCTTATTGAATCGCTCCTGGCTCCTTCACCTCTTCCTCCTTGCTCTAAAACTATTCCCTCGTGCCTTGCACCTCCTTCACATCCTCCCGCTTCTGCTGTTCTCCAATTCGACCTGCACCTCCTTTTCCTCCTCCTCCTCTTAATCCTCCGTCTCCTCCTCCTCCTGCTGCTGCTGCCTCGTGTGTAGATGGGGGTGTGGTGGTTGCTGTTCTCTTGGGGCTGCGCCTATCTACAGCTGTCTCCCCGTCTGTTGCTGCTGGCCCGTATCTCTCTGTGTCTCTCTGTCTCCGCTGATGATGATGATGATGCTGAAGCTGCTGCCCTGATGTGTTTTGCGTCTTTATTTCCAGGACAATGGAGCCCGCCCGGGATGAGCGGCAACGCTAATGGGATGCGCAGAGCCGACAAGCGCATTGGTGGAGGGGCTCTCTGACGGACGAAGAATGCGTTGCGCGTGTTTCCCCGCACGAATGTGAGAGTGTGATGTGTGTGTGATGTGTGTGAGAGAGAGGTCCAGCGCCTCCCCTAGGTCGACCCGGTCTGAAATGAGTACCTGGTGCCGGTGTGTAAGCATCGCCACTGGGGAGACAAAGGCGTTCGGGCGTGGTGCTGACCACCAACCCCCACGTGTGCCGTGCCGGCATTCATAGGTGTGCTACTCGCTAGCAGCACGTGTCCCTCAAGAGTCTGTTTAAGTCTATTTAGGGGGATCTTTGTCTTTGTTCATGTGAGACAAAGGCGGCCGGGAGTGGTGCTGGCTGGCCATACGAACCACCAACAGCACCTGCCCCTCAACAGCCTGTGTGGGCCCCCCAATAGATCAACTTAATCCTTAAATGAGTGCTGTACCTGGGGGTGCGGTGTGTGACTATCAAGTATTGGAGAGACAAAGGCGGTCGGGAGTGGTGTTAACCACACCTCGTGCACCGTTCCGATCGTCACAGGTAGTGACCCCAACAGTCTGTACGGCTGTATAGGGGATCAGTCTGTACGGCTGTATAGGGGATCAGTCTGTACGGCTGTATAGGGGATCTTTATCCGTGATAGTGTTTGGGTAGGGTAATGTATTGGCAGAGCGAGACTTAATATAAGTTCGCTAATAGCCCTTGCCACACCAGTCCGTTAATGCTATACGGGTGATCTTTATATATATTCTTGGTTCTTTCGGTAATATTATTTTATTATTTCCCTTCTACGTGACTTTCATAAAATAATATTATTTCCCTTCGACGTGACTTTACCGAAAAAAAACAAGAACATGAATCCCTGCAGTCACGAAAGCTTTAAATCGAAATGTAAAAATCTTTATCTTTGTTTTCTGTGTGTGTGTACTGTATTAATAAGGGGGAGCTCTATGGAAACGCATTTAGGGATTATTTGTCCTACTTTTCTACAGTGACCAGGCGTTCTGATAGTGGTGAGAAGTTCCCACATTTTTACCCCACCACACAAAAAAAAATCTGTCGGACTGTGGTGTACACATATATTCTTGGGCCTTTCGGTAAAGTCACGTAGATAAGTTCAAAGAAAATAACAAAAAAAAAACTACGACGTTTCGATCGCAACACAAGCGGTCGTCTTTTTTTCCTGAAGACGACCGTTTTGTGTTGCGATCAAAACGTCGTAGTTTTTGTTGTTGTTTTTTTGTTATTTTCTTTTAACCTATCTATGTGACTTTACCGAAAGACCCAAGAATATGAATTATTGCAGTCACGAAAGATTTAAGTGGACAATGGTGAAGGGACTTTAGAAGTCGCTCATTGTTTCAACTGCCGCACCAGGAGATTTATAATGATCTCAGTGCACCATGCATGAAAGTAGGAAAATATATATTTTTAAACCCGTACTACAAAGTCCAGAGTCCACTGGGCCATAACATGGGAAGTATAGACCTGCAGGCCAAACAGCAGAGTCTTTAGAGAAGATCTAAACACGGCGCGTGAGCTCGCCTGAATAGCCACTGGTGGGAAGGCATTCCAGAGTTTGGGCGCAGCACAGATTCACATTAAATGTGAATCATACCGGGCGTAGTATTTCCTGATTAACAAAATGTAATGATTCGTAATGCGTATATCTCACTAAATTACATTTTACGAATAAATGCATGACCATTAACGTGCGAATCAAATTGATATGCAACTGGACTCTTATCTTTATTAGCGAACACAGGGAATTGATCGGGATCAGCTACGCTGGTTTATATTTGTAGTATGTTGAACTTCTTTTCTTAAAGTACGTAGCTAACCGTGCTAATCGTAGGTGCGGGGGAAGGACAACAAACTGAACACAAAAATCAGTCCTAAAGAAACGAGCTTTCAATCTAGATTTAAAAGTGCATAGCTCCAGCGGCCTCCTTAACATCGTAAAGAAGAGCGTTCCAGACGGCCGCAGAAGCAGCGTATCTGAAAGCGCCACGCGATGCGGTGACCTCCCGCCTCTGTTCGATGGCCCAGCCCCGAAGCCGCCGCTGCCACGAGGATGACTACAAAAAAAACCCATCGATGGTAACAATCGATAGCGAGCAATGAAGCTCCTGGTTAAAACTGTTTTCTGGCCACATTGTCAATCCGCGTCCCGAAAGGCAAACCCAGAAAGCAAAAAAAAAGCAACCTCGAGGCCTGCGTACCCTCAGGTACCGAGGCAGTGATCGACTGTAGAAGATTAATACCCATGGGATCTTTTTTTTGGCGGTAACAAAGTACGGTACTGTACGTACAGAAAATAAGAATAGTTGTTACCCTTTCTGGCAATAAAATAGGTGTTAAGATGTTCAAACACCAAATAGGTACCGTTTGCAAGGAATTAAGTCTGTATTAACCACTCGTACTTGTGATAAAACATCGAAACAAGCATAATCTGATAGCATGTGCATTGTCAATCAGTTTCAAAGACAATGCATATATTGCAGTAGGGGTGCCACGGTGGCTAGGAGATGTTAACTTCCTCGCCCGGAATACAGGAGGTCGAGGGTTGGATCCCGACCCTGACGCTGGAAAATTGGAGTTTGCGTTGTCTCTCTCTTCGTGGTCACGCGCATTCTGCTCCGGGTTTTCTCTCCACATTTCGAATCAACACTCACCCAATCTCAAGACTCAATCAATCTCAAGACTCTCACAGTCTCAACACTCACCCAATCTCAAGACTTACTCAATCTCAAGACTCACACAATCTCAAAACTCACACAGTCTCGAGACTCACACAAACTGTAATATTCTCGTAATCTCAAGACTCACCCAATCTCAAGACTCACACAAACGGTAGGATTCTCCCAGTCTCAAGACTCACCCAATCTCAAGACTCACACAATCTCAACACGCTCACAGTCTCAAGACTCACCCAATCTGTAGGATTCTCCCAGTCTCAACCCTCACCCAATCTAAAGATTCACTCAATCTCAAGACTCACACAATCTCAAGACTCTCACAGTCTCAAGACTCACCCAATCTGTAGGATTCTCCCAGTCTCCACACTCACCCAATCTCAAAACTCACCCAGTCTCAAGACTCACCCAATCTGTAGGATTCTCGAGTCTCCACACTCACCCAATCTCAAAACTCACCCAGTCTCAAGACTCACACAATCTGTAGGATTCTCCAAGTCTCAACACTCAACCAATCTCAAGACACTCACAGTCTCAAGACTCACACAATCTGTAGGATTCTCCCAATCTCAAGACACACCCAATCTCAAGATTCACACAATCTCAAAACTCACCCAGTCTCAAGACTCACCCAATCTGTAGGATTTTCCCAGTCTCAACCCTCACCCAATCTCAAGACTCACCCAATCTCAAGACTCACTCAATCTCAAGACTCACCCAATCTGTAGGATTCTCCCAGTCTCAACACTCACCCAATCTCAAGACTCACTCAAGACTCTCACAAACTTAAAACTCACCCAGTTTCAAGACTCACACAATCTGTAGGATTCTACCAGTCTCAACACTCACCCAATCTCAAGACTCACTCAATCTCAAGACTCACACAATCTCAACCCTCACCCAATCTCAACACTCACTCAATCTCAAGACTCACACAATCTCAAGATTCTCACAGTCTCAAGACTCACACAATCTCAAGACTCACACAATCTGTAGGATTCTCCCAGTCTCAACACTCACCCAATCTCAACACTCACCCAATCTCAAGACTCACCCAATCTCAAGACCCACTCAATCTCAAGACTCACACAATCTCAAAACTCACCCAGTCTCGAAACTCACAAAATCTGTAATATTCTCGTAATCTCAAGACTCACCCAATCTCAAGACTCACACAATCTGTAGGATTCTCCCAGTGCCAACACTCACCCAATCTCAAGACTCACACAATCTCAAAACTCATCCAGTCTCAAGACTCACACAATCTGTAGGATTCTCCCAGTCTCAACACTCACCCAATCTCAAGACTCAATCAATCTCAAGACTCAATCAATCTCAAGACTCACACAATCTCAAAACTCACCCAGTCTCAAGACTCACCCAATCTGTAGGATTCTCCCAGTCTCAACCCTCACCCAATCTCAAGACGCACTCAATCTCAAGACTCACTCAATCTCAAGACTCACACAATCTGTAGGATTCTCCCAGTCTCAACACTCACCCAATCTCAAGACTCACTCAATCTCAAGACTCATTCAATCTAAAGACTCACACAATCTCAAGACTCTCACAGTCTCAAGACTCACACAATCTGTAGGATTCTCCCAATCTCAAGACTCACCCAATCTGTAGGATTCTCCCAGTCTCAACCCTCACCCAGTCTCAAGACTCACTCAATCTCAAGACTCACAAAACCTCAAGACTCTCACAGTCTCAACCCTCACCCAATCTCAAGACTCACCCAATCTCAAGACTCACACAATCTCTAGGATTTTCCCAGTCTCAACACTCACCCAATCTTAAGACTCACACAATCTCAAGACTCTCACAGTCTCAAGACTCACTCAATCTCAAGACTCACAAAATCTGTAGGATTCTCCCAGTCTCAACACTCAACCAATCTCAAGACTCACTCAATCTCAAGACTCACACAATCTCAAGACTCTCACAGTCTCAAGACTCACCCAATCTGTAGGATTCTCCCAGTCTCCACACTCACCCAATCTCAAAACTCACCCAGTCTCAAGACTCACACAATCTGTAGGATTCTCCCAATCTCAAGACACACCCAATCTCAAGATTCACACAATCTCAAAACTCACCCAGTCTCAAGACTCACCCAATCTGTAGGATTTTCCCAGTCTCAACCCTCACCCAATCTCAAGACTCACTCAATCTCAAGACTCACCCAATCTCAAGACTCACCCAATCTCAAGACTCACTCAATCTCAAGACTCACACAATCTCAAAACTCACCCAGTCTCGAAACTCACAAAATCTGTAATATTCTCCTAATCTCAAGACTCACCCAATCTCAAGAGTCACACAATCTCAAGACTCACTCAAGACTCTCACAATCTCAAAACTCACCCAGTCTCAAGACTCACCC